TGACACAAAAAATCGCTATTTTTATTGGTTAAAATTAGGGGTGCACTACAATGCAGGTGCACGAAAAACTTAAACCCTTTTAAATAAATAAAATATAAAATCACAAACTATAATAGATTTACAATAAATTTTTTTACGTAGCAAATTATTCGATTAACTACAAAATCAATATGTATATATAAATCTAAAACAGATAGATATAAAACAAGAATTGTAAAAAATTTATAAAATTGTTATAGGAACTATATTTCTGTCATTAATTTTAGCCCGAAAATTTAGATATATCTAGGGTGGTTGGCAGGTTAGCTGGCGAACTGGCAAGCTTGGCAAGAAAATAGTGGCAAGAATTTTGCCATTCTTATTTGACAAGCTAAAAGGCTCACCAGCCTAGCTTGCCAACCATCCTAAATATATAATTTAAATATCAATCTTTAGACAGAGATTAGGATAATACCGTATTTCACTGCATAAACCACCCGGGTCTGTTACATTTCACCTCAATATTTAATTAGTAAAAGAAAAAGAAAATTATACATTAATAAAAAATCCGCGGGTCTATTACCATAGGTACAGTGAAATACGTATTAGAATAACGTTAATGTCGTGTGATCATGCCGTGACTATCGCTATGTTATTCACAATAATTTGATGCAAATCATGATGAGAAGCAAATTTGGAAGGCTTTTTTTTTACGTATAACAGATCGGATCTTTGTGGATCCGAATCGGACATACAAAACATTACTTCTATCTATTTTTATCAAAGAGTATTCATTGCACATGATTTCGATATATCACTAAACGTATCGGAAACTGTGATAAAAAAAAAAAGAAACCTCAAAATAAATTTACTTTCCACAATTTCCTTTTGTTTATTTTTTTTTTGTTTGCCAATTTCAATATCAATCCCTTTTTTAGAGGCTGTTATATGTTACATGACGATTTGAGCAAATTTCCAATTGGTAAAATTTAATGATAAGATTTACCAATGATTTAAACTAACAAGTTAGATTTTTAGTACCCATATTAGTACCATATTCATTGATAACACTGCATAATCGATAATTTTGCAATTCATTTTATTATTAAAGTATATCTATGCTATATTAATTACGTACGAGGTGTGTGATTCACGTGCGTTTCTCTCTAAATGCAACTCTCAAAATTTATTTATTTTTTGGTAGCAATACTAAGAAAGTAAATAATAGACCTGTTGTAATAGGTAAATTATGCAATAATACTTTATATGAAAATTAATTATTGTTTGTTACATTTACCAAAAATTGAGTAACGCCAATAAAATTCTTGATTGAATTTATCATATTGCCGAATTAAGCTTCAAAATTCGAATTTCTCCTACTGTCCTAGGTACAAACAATGATTTTCATGTTTATGAAAAAAAATTATATATACTACATTAATTAATATTATTTGATCTTCCAAAACTTGCTGATCCTTCTCTATACTGTTCTATTTTTCGAAAGAGTCAAGAATGCAAACTCGCCAGGCACGGCTCCTGGCGAAAATAGATAAAAGACCTAAATCACCTTCGTTTTATCCTTCTAGGTCAAATATGAATCGTAATTTATCACCAATTATTCCCAAAGGAAATTTCAATCAAAGGATTACTTCTAATAAATATAAATCCAATATTCATTTTGACAAAAAAATTTCTCGACAACCTATTAATTCAAAAATATTATTATTATTACTTTTTAAAACATTGATAATTACTATAATTGGACTTTTATGCACATATCTAACATATCCTTGGTTTACATTTAAAGATTCTTTATTATCAACAAACCATCCTCCTTCGCAAAAACCTACCATACCTAATCCAATAATAAGAGACCAAATTATATTATATCGTATACTTGGTAATGATCTCCCACCACGTCATAAAGCTGGACAGACATTAAGAAATGTGAGATTTATATTAGAACATGAAGCAGAATTTTTAAATACAAAAAAATGGTGGTTACTTAATCGAATTGCAGATTCTGATTATGAAGATACATTAATTAATCTTTTAAGGTTACATAAACAAGATTATATTAGAATACCTTTTAATGAAAATGAATATTCAAAACTTGATTTTCGTCTTGAAGACTTTCCAAAACCTGATTTTTTCAATTCGGATGAATTCGCGCGTTTTTCGAGGGGTGCAAAATTAAGATCGATTGATTATACCTATTTTGATAAAAATTTATATGCTATGAATAATGTAATTATTATTATTATTATTATTATTATTATTATTATTATTATTTTGATTAAATTTTGTTAAATTGATTTCATCTTAATGTAGAATGGTGGTAGAAATATAGCTCTTGCACATGGAAAATCTCAATTAGATGCACGTTGGATATTACCATTTGATGGAAATTGTTTTTTAACACCTAACGCATTTGCAGAAATTCGAGCTCGTTTAAATTTATTTGGTGATCAATATAAATATTTTATAGTACCAATGGCAAGATTATTAAATAATTCACAATTATTGGAAGAATTAGATGCTCGTCCTATTACTCCAGAAGAACCTCAAATAATATTTAGATATGATTCTAATAAAGTATATAATGAACAAATGCGTTATGGGAGAAGATCCAAGGTAATTAATAATTTCTTTTTATTATTAATTATTGTATATAGTAAAATAATTAACAATATTAAAATATTATTATTTTCATTTATATAGTTGGAAATGTTATGGCGTTTAGGATTTCCTCCATCTCCATCACACAAGATTTCTGGAAAATTAACTGCTCCATGGGAACCCTCAGATAGTTATCCTAATAAAGCAGAAGAAATACAATATCAATCTGCTGGTTGGGTTTTCCGTTTATTTTCGGGTCAAGTGTCACAAGAAAAGAAAGAATCAGGACCAATACGTGCATTTAATCGATTATTGGCTATTCAAAATTTTATAGATGGTTTAGATGAACGTAACGCTCGAAAAGTTAAAGGTTTTGATCCTTTTCGATTATTTCTTTATGACGAAAATTTACTTAAGAAAGCAAGATTGGATTATTGGTTAGGCGTACCTAAAGTTGTTGAAGTAGTTAAAATGTTGACAAAACATGCTAATAATATATTATCTGAAATTATTAATTCATATGAATCAGAACCTAATGTCCGTGTGGATGCGAATATTCGTGTAAATTTCTTGAAAATCAAAGAAAAAGATTCCAATAATTTAGATAATTTAGATAATTTAGATAATTCAGATAATTCGGATAATTCAGATAATTCAGATAATTCGGATAATTCAGATAATTCGGATAATTCGGATAATTCAGAACTAGTAAATATGACCAAAAATCCTATTCCTGATCTTTCTGGTCTTATGAAGAATTCATTTAAAACATCTCCTGTGCCTGCACCTGTGACAATTCCAACTATATCGCCTGATATATTCTTTGAAAATGTAACAACTTTGGCCCTTGCACATTATTTTTCCGGTGATGAACAATATTCGAGATGGGCTGCTAATCTGATTAGAACATTCATTCTTTCATCATATGCAGTTGGAGAACAAAATAACGTTGAAGCACCTTCTCATATAATTAAATCACATGCAGTTGGAGAACAAAATAATGTTGAAGCACCTTCTCATACAATTAAATCACATTCAGTTGGAGAACAAAATAATGTTGAAGCACCTCATATAAATAATAATGAAACCATCAATAATGAAGGTTATAGTTTTCCATATTTAAATAAAATTCCACGTTTAATACCAAAATTTTTAAATGTTGGAACATCTTTTTCAAAAAATTTAACCAATACCGATCCAAGCTTTTTTCTGGATGCATGTAGACTTCTTTATCGAGCGCGTGTTCTTACTCATAAGGAATATATGAATCTCCAAAATTTTGCATCTGATTGGTTAGAATCATTAATTAATTCACCACAAAATCTTAAAATAGGGAGACAATCAAATCATCATGGCACTTTGTATGACCTTCAAGTGATATCATTATCTGGATTTCTTGATGATATAAGACTTTACCTTCGAGTAGCTAATAGAGTACGAATGCGAATTGGTAAACAATTTAATATTCCTACAGATATCTCAATGCCAAAAATTTCACAGAATCATGAAATTATGTATGTTCAAAATTTGGTTGATATTGGTGAAATTAAATCATTAGATTATGATGAGAATGTTTTTCGATACACTACATTAAATTTACAATATTGGTTACTTCTTGTACGAATAATACAAAATGGACGTTGTGGATCAGATATATGGCAATATACAACAAAGGATGGACAAAAAATTAGTCAAGCAATTATAGAACATTTCAAATATTATAAAAATAGAATGCATGATAGTGCTATTATAGCTTTAACGCATATGGCAAAGAGTGCGATTAAGGCTAATAGTGACACCGGACAAGATACATGTCAAACTCAAGATGAACACATTTATTCACAATATTTTGACAACAATAATATAATAGATTACATTAATTTAATTAATTTAGATAACAAAATTAACAAAGAATTGAATGTAATAATTGGTATAGGAGATGAGGCTAGACGGAGAGGCTTACCACCTTTCTGGATGTTTGGTGTCGCATCGTAGAATACTTTATACGTAGAAATATTTTTTACTTTTTAACAGCATAAAAGACTTTGAATATCTTGACTACCTTTTTTTTAATTTTTTTATTTTTCTATATTCATGCAACTTTTTTTTTTTATTATTTTTTTAAAAGAAAGTTTTTTCATGTACTGTACATTTGCATCGGAAGATTTTCACTCAAACTTTTGTAATATAAATTATACAATATCTGATATTCTACTACGTACATTTTTTTTTATGTATGTGGTACAATGACAAATATAAAATTTTTTTAGTAAATTGTCTTTTAGCAAATTGTCTTTTACGTAGCAAATTGTCGTTGATCTATAATATTAAAAATCGTTCTTTATCGTTATGAAACTCTGTTTGCTGAAACTAACGCATTTAATTAGTTAATTAGTGGTCTGTCAATTGACTTTGTTAGTTTCAGCTTTTTAGCCAAGCTTTGGCGTCAGAACACATGGCAATAAAATAAATATTGTACGTACCAAAATGTATCTCATACTGGAGTACACGAGTATATGACCCAATTCTTTCGTGATACGTATGACAGATTCAAGCCAGATTTTGTCGAAAAAAATTTAAAATTTTTGCGTTTGACTATGACTCTAAAAAGGCGTGCATGACAGATATGACAGATATTCAGATTCGATCACATGTTAACACTGTAGTAACCATATTCTTCAGGGGTTACCCCGTGAAGTGAATTTATTTAAACGAATAATGATTAATGTTAATATTATGAAAAATTCTATTTGAGTAAGTGAAATATATATACATCGAAAAATAACTGCCGTCACCTCTCGTTATGGTCACACCCACAAATGTCTAATCATCATGTTAATTTTTTACTTGAATTATATATGAAATTTCACCTACTGAGCTATTAAATCCCTTAATACATAATAAGAACATAAATGCTAGATTAGACCATGTGACTATTGCAGGAGACAGATATTGTATGTTACTACGGCTACGTGTTTTAGAAATGAATTATTATTTTCATGAATTTTTTTTACTTTTCGAGATCCATAGAATTAGTTTTGCGTAATTGTTTTTCATTAGTATTAGTTGAATCGCCTCTAATAGCACCTTCTATGTCCATAAATGATTTATTTCTTTTGGTTGTTGGTTTTCCGGTAATTTTACCCTTAAAATATTCCCAAACAAATACAAATTCTCTCCAAATATCAATTGGATTAAAAGCATCTATTAATCCTTTTGATAATGGAACTTTTTTGTCACCTTTATAACCTTGATAAGGAAATGCAAATATGTGTATAATTGAAAAGATAGCCATTTCTATACAGACTAAAATGGCGGCTAAACCTCGACTGACATTTGCACTTGTCCTATTATGAAAGAATTGATTAATTTATTTATTTAAAAAAATAAAAGAAATTTTAATTTATGAAAACATGAAAAGTGTAAATACCAATATTGGGTCTCTTTGATTATACCTATTTAAATAATTAAAAAGATTAAAATAGAACCGTTAAGGATATCTGATATTAACAATTAAATTTTTTAAATGAGAGATTTACCTATGTCAGCAATAATAGCAAGAACTATGGATTGCCAAAACGAAAAGAAAATGACCAATTTTATACAAAGGAATTTCAAAAATGGCTTATGTTCTGCGATGTCTTCATGAATCGTTAGATAAAACACAAACTAGAATTATAAAAATTTAAAGGTTAGTCGCAATTAAATTTTTTAAAAATGAAATTATACAAAGTTCAAAGTTAAACGCACCAAAGCATACATAGCAACAGTTACACAAATAAAAGTTAGGATTTTCATATAAACCCTAGCAAAAGCAAAACTCAAACTTTCCGCGCAAAAAACTCCCAAAGCTTCGGTAATAAGTGAAATGAATGTAATTATAGGCTTCATTATAACATATTGTAATATACCCCATTTTGTAAGGGCAAGAAATGAGTGGCTGGCTGGATTAAACCAAAAGCAACAGCAAGGAAATGGAAGCTTCCGTTTTTTACGATGAAATAACATTTGTTTTTGTTCTTCAGTTGATTCACCAACGAATTGTGTAAGTAAAGCAAAAAAAGCAGCAATAGCAAATGCTTCATAACAATCTCGAATTGTTTCATAGTAAGTACTATAACGAAAGTATCTATAAGATAACCAGGAAATGATAGCATATATCGGAACCATAAGAATAATGCGAACAATGTATCGTTGATGATTTGGCTATTATCACAAATAAGTTTTAAGTATATATTTCGAATAAAGATATTTATAAATTTTTAAAAAGTAAACAAGCTATAACAAACCCTAGTATAATTTTGTAAATGCCTGAAAATCAAATAAAGCGAGATTAATGTTGCAACAAGTGCGAACAAACCCGATACAGTCCAACCAATTCTGTGAGCTAATTTAAAAAAGAGAGTAAAAAAAAAATGTTTTCTTTTTAACGATAATAATTTCTAAAAAAAAATTTTTAATTACCATCCCAATTTAATCCATTATCTAAAAAACTTGTAGGATCCGTTTCATTCTTATTTTCTGACGGACAATCATGACTAAACAAACGATTATAACTCATTATATATATATAAAAAAAAAATTTATTTTTTTTTTTAAATTCGTGTGAATAAGAAACGAAATTCTCCTCTTTTTATAACTTTGAGGTATAATAATAATAATTAAATTAATTTGATAATAATCGTACTACTCATCAATGAGAGCAACAATTAATGGTAATATAACGTGCACAATTTTTATTAAGGATACATCTGCAACTACTTCTTTTCTGCAAGTGATACGACTTAAATAAGGAAATTAAAAATATCACAAGATCAGACGTAACGTGAATCACTGAGTTTTTGTTACTTAAGAAGTCTTTCCTTACAAAATTTTTGTCCTATTGTAAACGTCATACCTAATTTTTATCACATACGTACTTCATCCAAAAAAATCATTTCCCTTAACCTCCATAATCCATAATTGGACGAACCTTATAATTAGCCGAATTTTCCAAACTCTATCAGCTATAATTAGTTAAAGTACGTACTAAATCTTTAAAACCATTATGCGGTTAAATCATTATGCGGTTAAATGTATCGATATTCATGTTTATAAAAAGTAAAATTAAAAAGGATTGCAGTTTATATTTTGAGTAACTGTTTTCTATTTATTATTTGAATAAACGCCAATGAAAAGATACCCATGTTTTCTGTCGGTATCACCTTGCTAAAATTAATAAATGCGGTAGTCGAATATCATTGCGGTGAGTGTATTACAGTCATCGATATACGTAGTAAAAGAACAAAAAGCTTGCATTTATCATTATGCCGCTACTTGTAGAGAAAAAATAATGAAATTAGATACTAATATCGGTATCATCAAAAATTATAATCCTTGATCAGGATAATTCTTACCTAAACCACGGATTACAAAATTATCTATGAGGATAAGATAAATAATTTTGTCCAAAGAATTATAATCAAATAATATCTTTTGAATTAGAGATTCTTGTTTATGCAACGCGATGCGATGTCACTAATTTTTGGTAAAATTACTTATTGAAAAGAACTACTGGGGAAATGCATGGAGTGGACGCCGCAAACCATCTCAAAAAAGGAAAAACTAAATGATTTCTACGTGAGT